GAAAGGCAGCCTAGGCCACAGGGATTGCAATTCCTGGAAACGCCCTGGAGCCAGTGGACTTGGGGTGCACATGACCTAGTGAGACAGCAGCGGGGGCAGCCCAGGGAGTGCTTGCGTCAACCCTCACCCACCCCCAGGCTGGCAGCTCACAGCGCTGGGAGAGACTCCTTCCTTCTACCGGATGAGCGGAGAGAGGAGGATAAAGAGAACTTCATCTTTCCGCTTAGTACCAGCTCAGCCACAGAAAAATAACTCATCCAGCGGAGTCCTGAAGCTCCCTGTTCTAGGCACCAGCTCCCGGACAACATTTCCAGACACATGCCGGGCCAGAAGGAAACCTGCGGCCTGGAAGGAAAGGTCCCGTCCCGGCAGCATTCTTCACCTCCTGACTAAACAGTCCTTGGTCCTTAAATAAATACCAGCAGTCCAGGCAGTGCTCGCCACGGGCCCTGCGTGAGACTCAGAGCCTTCCTGGCTTTAAGTGGGACCCAGCACATCTCCAGCTGCGGTGGCCACAGAGAGAGGCTCCTTCTCCTTGAGGAAAGCGAGAGAAGAGTAAAGAGGACTTTGCCTTGCGATGGGGGTACCAGCTCAGCCACAGTAAATAAAGCACCAGGCAGACTCCTAAAGTCCCAGATGCCAGGCCTTAGTTCCTGGATGGCATTTCCGCACCTGCTCTGGACTGGAAGGGAATCTGCCACCCTGAAGAGAAAGACACAAGCCTGGCCGCATTTGCCACCTGCTGACTAAAGAGCCCCTGGGGCTTGAAGAAACATCGGTGGTAGCGAAGCAGTTCTTGCCACGGGCCTGGGGTGGTAGTGGCCATGGGGAGAGACTATGCTTGAGGAAAGGAGAGGGAAGAGTGAAAAGGACTCTGTTTTTAACTCGGGTGTCAGCACACCCACAGTAAAATCAAGCACCAAGTAGATTCCAAAACTTCCCAATTCTAGGCCCTAGCTCCTGGAAAGCATTTCGAGATTCACCCTGGTTTCTAGACGCACCCTGGGCCAGAAGGGAACCCGCCGCCCTGAAAGGAAAGAGACAAGCCTGGCTGCATTCACCAAAGAGCACCTGGGCCTTAAACAAACCTCAGTGGGAGTGAAGCCACAGTTGCCGCAGGCTGTAGCGGAGACCCAGGGCCGAGCTGGCTTCAGGTCTGACCCAGCATGGTCCTGAGGAGAGAGGCCATTTCTCTTACCCTCTCCTGTCTCTGAAGAGAAGGAGGAAATAAAAGCTGAAAAACAACAGGAATGAAGTCAGTGGGAAGACCGGCCGGCGCCACTGATGACCAGGCCTGCAGTTAAAAGATTAACCCCCGACTCCGACCACATGTGCTATCTGTAGGTGTTAATCGATCATGACCCTGTCACGCGGACCCCTTCAAGTTGTAAGCCCTTAAAAGGGCCGGGAACTCTTTCTTCCAGGAGCTCGGCTCTTGAGACGTGAGTCTGCCAACGCTCTGGGCCAAATAAAGCCTCTTCCTTCTTTAATCCACTGTCTGAGGGGTTTTGTCTGCAGCTCATCTTGCCACAGTCCCAGTGCTGGTGGCCGTGGGAGTGCTTGTGTCGCCCTCCCCTAACTCCAGACAGCTCAGCATGGAGAGAGACTCCGTTTGTTTGGGGGAAAGTGAAGGAAAAGAACAAGAGGCTCCACCTGGTAATGCAGGGAATTCTCCCAGATCTTTCTTGAGACCACCAAGGTGGGGCCTCTATGAGTCTGCCAGAGTCATGGTGTTACTGGGCTTGAGGTGCCTCTAATGCAGATATGACTGCAGTGACCAAACACTTAGATCACAACCCTCAATTCCCTTTGAACACCAGGAAAGCCTTCTCAAGAAGGACGGGAAGCTGGGCACGGTGGCTCAAGCCTGTAATCCCAGCACTTTGGGAGGCCAAGGTGGGTGGATCACCTGAGGTTGGGAGTTCGAGACCAGCCTGACCAACATGGAGAAACCCCGTCTCTACTAAAAATACAAAATTAGCTGGGTGTGGTGGTGCATGCCAGTAATCCCAGCTATTCAGGAGGCTGAGGCAGGAGAATCACTTGAACCCGGGAGGTGGAGGTTGCCGTAAACTGAGATCATGCTGCTGCACCCCAGCCTGGGCAACAAGAGCGAAACTCCACCAAAAAGAAGAAGAAGAAGAAGAAGAACAGACCCAAACATGGTGGCTCATGCCTATAATTCCAGCACTTTGGGAAGCCAAGGAGGGAGGATCACTTGAATCCATGAGCTCGAGACCAGCCTGGGCAACATACTGAGACCCTGTGTCTACAAAAAATATAAAACTCAGTTGGACATGGTGGCACGTGCCTGTAGTCCCAGCTACTTGGGAGGCTGAGGTGAGGGGATTGCTTGAGCCCAGGAGGCTGAGGCTGCAGTGAGCCATGATCATGCCATTGCACTCCAGCCTGAGTGGCAGAGTGAGACTCTGTCTCAGAAAAAAGAAACAAACAAAGAAAGATGGGTACACACAAGCACAGACTGTGGAGATTACAATAAATAATTCTTTAATGCCCAGGCATAGACCAACATCCACAAGCATCAAGAGCATCCATGAAAACATGACCAGGCCGGGCGCGGTGGCTCAAGCCTGTAATCCCAGCACTTTGGGAGGCCGAGACGGGCGGATCACGAGGTCAGGAGATCGAGACCATCCTGGCGAACACGGTGAAACCCCGTCTCTACTAAAAAATACAAAAAACTAGCCGGGCGAGGTGGCGGGCGCCTGTAGTCCCAGCTACTCGGGAGGCTGAGGCAGGAGAATGGCGTAAACCCGGGAGGCGGAGCCTGCTGTGAGCTGAGATCCGGCCACTGCACTCCAGCCTGGGCGACAGAGCGAGACTCCGTCTCAAAAAAAAAAAAAAAAAAAAAAAAGAAAACATGACCACACAAAATGAACTAAAGAAGACATGAGTGACCAATCTCACTGTGACAGAGGTATGTGAACTTTCAGAGAAAAAATTCAAAATGGCTGTTTTGAGGAAGCTCAATGAAACGCAAGACAACAGAGAGAAGGAATTCAGAATCGTATCAAATATATTTAACAAAGAGATTGAAATAATTTTTAAAAATCAAGCAGAAATTCTTGACCTGAAAAATGTAATTGACATACTGAAGAATGCATCAGATATCTTACCAGCAGAACTGATCAAGCAGAAGAAAGAATTAGTGAGGTTGAAAGCAGGCTATTTGAAAATACGCAAGAAAAATTTCTTTTTTCTTAAAAAAGAAAAAAGAATAAAAAACTATAAAGTGAGAAATAAAATAAAAACAATAAAGGACAACTACAAGATCTAGAAAATAGCCTCAGAAGAACAAATTTAAGCATTAGAGGAGGTAAAGAGAGAGATCAGGATAGAAAATCTATTTAAAGAGATAGTAACAGCTCCCAAACCTGTCAATATTCAAATACAAGAAGATTATAGAATACCAAGTAGATTTAGCCCAAAGAAGACAACCTCAAAGGCATTTAATAATCAAACTCCCAAAAGTCAGGGGTGAAGAAATAATTCTGAAGGCAGAAAGAGAAAGGAAACAAGTAACTTATAAGGAGCTCCAGTATATCTTGCAGCAGACTTTTCAGTGGAAACCTTATAAGCCAGGAGAGAGCGGCATGACATATTTAAAGAGCTGACGGAAAAAAAACTTTCATCCTAGAATAGCACATCCAGTGAAAATATTCTGAGCTCAGGAGTTTGAGACCAGGCTGGCCAACATGGTGAAACCCCATCTCTAGTAAAAATACAAAAATTAGATGGGTGTTGTGGCGTGAACCTGTAATCCCAGCTACTCGGGAGGCTGAGGCAGGAGAATCACTTGAACCCAGAAGGTGGAGGTTGCAGTGAGCTGAGATCGCGCCACTGCACTCCAGTCTGGGCGACAGAGTGAGACTGTCACAAAAACATAATAATAGTAATAATAAAAGAAAAAGGCAAAAATTCAAACAACTAAACAGAAACTGGGCAAAAGAACTGAACCAGCCCTCCACAGAAGAGGAGATGTGGAGGAACGGCTAATGAAAACACGAAGAGGGTCTCAACCTAACAGGGGGAGAGATCACGTGACACCACCAGACTGGCAGAAATCCCACAACCCAGTCAATGCCAGTGTTGGGGAGAATGGAGAGTAGCAGGAACACCAGGCACTGCTAAGAATGGTTATGAAATATATTTTTGTTACGCTTGTATATGAAAGGGGGTGTGTTGTGGGTTATGAGGAAAATTACATTTCTTACCTGGAATGAAATTTTAAAACTTGAAAGCTACTGACCCAAAGAAACTTGCACGTGTGTAAAAAAAAAAAACCCAAGAACGTTCCCAGCAAAACACAGTCCTCAGGGCCCCAACCTGGCCACACACTCACCCACAGGGACATGAAGACATTTCCCGTGCTCCCCTCAGACGACGGGAGATCACGCAGCAATGACAATGAACCATGTCAGTGTGGGTGGGCCTCAGGGAGAGAATGGAGATGGGAGATCACACAATGACAATGAACCACGTCAGTGTGGGTGGGTCTCGGGGAGAATGGAGGACAGAAACAGGCATCGAGCAGATGCTCAGAGCCGCGCAGTGTAGGAGCAGCCACGCAGGAGAATTTCCTCACATCAAAGTTCAAAACTACAGTCGAGGCAACAGAGCAAGACCCTGCCTTAAAAAGACAACAGAAAGTTCAAAAACTAAATTGCATATTTTTTAGGTGTTTAGGGATGTACGCATACACGGTGAAAGAAACGTACTGTGAAGAAAAGTACGGGAACAATAAAGACTAAAGCAGGAAGTGATTCCCTCTGTAGGAGGAGGGAAGGGACTGGGACTCAGGCAGGGCCTCCAGGGAGCATCCAAAGTTATGTCTCTTCAGATTCTATTCCCTAAACCTGGTGGAGGTCCTATGTGTGCAATGTGTCAATATTCTTTATACCTCACCCATATTTTACAAATGCTTTATTTCTATTCAATATTTAGAAGACAGTTATAAACAAGATGCATTAAATAGCAAGATGGCCGATGAACATCAGGAAGGAACATCCATGAGGTTCCATTCACGGAACCTCACCATGGATACGCTTGTGATCAAGGGCCTGGTCTCCCCTCAAGGCACAGTCAGAGAGCAGAGGCCGCACCATCATAGCGGGGGAGCAGGAGCAGCTGGGACAGGGCCCTTCTGTGAACCTGCTGCATCGCCAGGCTGTGTGAACGGACTCAGCTGCCAGAACTCACAGAACATCAGTATCAGCACCGAAACCTCACAGGAAAAACGGTAAGTTCTAAGTTTCTCCATTAATAGTAACTCTCAGATTAATCTCTGTCATCCATCGCTTCTCCATGAAATAACTTTTTATAGCTTTGCATGGGTCTACTTTTCAATTTATATTTTATTTTACTGATTGAAAAGATAAATATTGTGTGGTGTGTGATTTTGTCTCTGTCAGTCAGGATAATCATAGTTTTACTTCTATTATTATTATACCAATATCACTTAGGTTTTTTTAAGCTTTTCAATTCCTGGGGGTATTAATCAGGGTCTTTCTGTCTCGTGAGACAGAAAACAAATCCAAACTGTGTAAGAGAAAAAGGAATGTATTGATCACAAGGACTGAGACGCTCCCAGGCTTAACTTGCTTGGGATTCAACTACATGTACAGTTTCAAGTGGGGTCCTGTAACACTCTCTCTCTTTCTCTCTCTACTTCCCCAACATCGGCTCCACGTTTAGCTCCACGAACTTCAGACTTAAACAGCATCACTGGCCCCTGCCCAGGATTCCAGCTCCACGAACCTCAAACTAGAACACCAGCCCGGCTTCTCTGCAGGTCTCCAGCTCCAAAACCTAAGACATCAGTGGCAGTACAAACACCTCCCAGGGACTCCAGCTCCGGGACCCTCAGACTTCAACCACAGCACCAGCTCTTCCCCGGATCTCCAGCTCCATGACCCTCAGACTTAAAAAAACAGCAGCACCAGCTCATCCGTGAATCTCCAGCTCCACGATCCTCCAACAAGAAACACACCAGCTGCTCCCCGGGTCTCCGGCTGAATGACCCTCAGACTAGACCAACACCACTCACCCCTGGATCTCCAGCTCCGCAAACCTCACACTAGAGCAGAAACACCAGCTCCTCTGCGGGTCTCCAGCTTTACAACCTAAGACATCAGTGGCAGCTCCGGCTCCTCCCAGGGGCTCAAGCTCCGGGTCCCTCAGACTTGAACCGCAGCACCAGCTCTTCCCCGGATCTCCAGCTCGATGACCTTCAGACTCGAACAACAGAAGGACCAGCTCCTCCCTGGGTTTCCAGCTCCATGACCCTCAACTAGAACATCAGCTCCTCCCTGGATCTCTAGCTGCACGAAACTCACACTAGACACCAGCTCCGGCTCCTCCGCAGGTCTCCAGCGCCACAACCTAAGACATCAGAGGCAGCACTGGCTCCTCCCATAGATTCCAGCTCCGGGACCCTCAGATTTGAACCACAGGACCACCTCCTCCCCAGGTCTCCAGCTGCAGGGCCCTGAAACGAGAATATCAGCTCCTCCCTGGGTGTCAGGCTGCACGCCCCTCAAACTAGAACATCAGCTTTGTCCCGGGTCTTCAGCTGCACGACCCTCAAACTAGAAAAACACCAGTTCCTCCCTGGGTCTCCAAGCTCCATGACCCTCAATCTAGAGCAACATCAGCTCCTCCTGGGGTCTCCAGCTGCATGATGCTCAAACTAGAAAAACAGCAGCAAACAAAAAAACTTCACCTGGTTTTTCTAGTTTGAGGGTCGTGCAGCTGGACACCCAGGAAGGAGCTGATTTTCATCTATTTTGAGGGTCGTGGAGATGGACACCCAGGGAGGATCTGGTGTTGTTCTAGTTTGAGGGTCGTGGAGCTGGACACCCAGGGAGAAGCTGGTGTTTTTCTAGCTTGAGGGTTGTGGAGCTGGACATCCGGGCGGAGCAGTGTTGTTCTAGTTTGAGGATGTTTGAGGGTAGGCTGCACGACCCTCAAATTAGAAAAACACTAGCTCCCCCTAGGTCTCCAGCCCCACAAACCTCACACTAGAAAAACATCAGCTTAGCCCCGGATCTCCAGCTTCACGACCCTCAGACTTAAAGAAGAGCAGCACCAGCTCCTCTCCAGGTCTCCAGCTCCACGAACCTCAGAATAGGAAAACAGATCCTCCCGGTGTCTCCAGCTCCACGATCCTCTGATCATAAAAACATTAGCCCCTCCCCAGGTCTCCAGATGCAGGAGCCTCAAACTTGAACATCAGCTCCTCCTGGTGTCTCCAGCTCCATGACCCACTGATCAGAAAAACATCAGCTACTCTCTGGGTCTCCAGCTCCATGACCCTCAATCTAGAAAATCAGCTCCTCCCTGAGTGTCCAGCTGAAAGACCCTCAACAGGAACAATACCAGCTCCTCCCCGAATCTTCAGCTGCACAACCCTCAATCTAGAACATCAGCTCCTCTCCGGGTCTGCAGCTGCAAGACTTTCAAACTAGAACATCAACTCCTCTCTGGGTCTCCGGTTCCATGACCTACAATCTAGAACATTAGCTCCTCCCTGAGTCTCCAGCTGAAAGACCCTCAACGCGATCAACATCAGCTCCTCCCTGAGTCTTCAGCTGCATGAACCTCAATCTAGAACATCACCTCCTCTCCAGGTCTACAGCTGTAGGGCCCTCAATCTAGAACATCAACTTCTCTCCGGGTCTCCAGCTGTAGGGCCATCAAACGAGAACATCAGCTCCTCCCCGGGTCTTCAGCTGCACGAACCTCCATCTAGAACATCAGCTCCTCTCTGCGTCTCCAGCTCCATGACCCACAATCTAGAACATCAGCTCCTCCCTGAATCTCCAGTTGAAATACCCTCAATGCGAACAACATCAACTCCTCCCTGAGTCTTCAGTTGCACGATCCTCAAACTAGAATATCAGCTTCTCCAATGGTCTCCAGCTATAGGGCCTTCAAATTAGAACATCATCTCCTCCCCGGGTCTTCAGCTACACGAACCTCAATCTAGAACATCTGCTCCTCTCTGGGTCTGCAGCTGCAAGACCCTCAAACTACAACATCAGCTCCTCCCCGGGTCTCCAGCTCCATGACCTTCAATCTAGAACATCAGCTTTTCCCTGAGTCTCTAGCTGAAAGACCCTCAATGCAAACAACATCAGCTCCTCA